TTCATTTGGATTGGTTTAGAACCAGCTTTGTGCTCTTTGAGTCGTTTATGACCCAATTCAAAGAGGCCTGGCTGTTTTGAGCCCAGGTTCTATTTGATTGACTAAGGGTAAATTCAGGGAACTTGGGGGGTGTTTTAGGAAGTTCAGGTTAGGGAATCTCCAGTGTAACTGAAATAGGAAGGTTCTAGTAGGGATTTCTAGCCAATTTTAGGCTTTTGAGTAGTTTAACTTGGCAAGCAAGTCAGAATTTTAGGGATTAGGTAGCAAAAATAAGAATTAGAAAGGGACTAAGGGGGTAAAGACTAATTTGAAAGATGCCCTACCTTTCTTGCCTATAAAGGCATCCTAAACTTGCCTTTTAAAGGAGATTTTCAAGAGCTAAAATTGATAGAAAATTAGAAAATCAAAGGCGGCTGAAGAATTTTAGGAGAACAACACTGTTTCATTGAGTTCTTTTGGCATTTTCCAAAGTTTTTCCATGTGCTGAGGCAATTTCTGGTTAGCTGGTATTAAAATGGGTTAAAATCAAATCTGGTTTGAGGTCTGCTGGTCCATTGAGTGCCTGAAATTAGTGTTTGGGTCATTATATCTCATCTGCTGGGTTTAAATTGGTTTGCTGGTTCATTTTTTGATTGCTGGGCTCTACAGCTTTGCTATTGTTGATCTCTGCTGTTAACTACTGCTGATCCCCCTTTGTTTCTTTGTTTCTTCAATCTCAGGTACACAACTCTGTAACCCTGCTGATTGTGTAATGGAAATTGAAGAATGAAATGGAAAAATAGAAGTTTAAAGCCTAGCCTCAGCTCTTCAATTCATAGTTTTATTTCTTTTGTCCTTCTGAATTCCTTTGTTCTGATTCGATGTATGACTAAGTCTGATTTTGAATAGTTGTGCAAACTTGGTGTATAGCTGGTGTAACAAAGCCAGTAGTTATATCCTGCATGATTAGATAGTGTTAACTGTGTTGGACCTCCCCTAGTTATGTATTTAATTTAGGACTGTCATGAAGACTTGATTAATATTTTGTCTAGATGAATTAGGGATTAAACGTTGGTAATGAACTAGATGAAGTAGAGTGTGCTCTCAGTTCCTGCTATACTGTTGATTGAGCCCTCTGTGAACTCAATAAGGCCTTTGTATTGGTTTTATTATTTTTGAGATATTCAGTCTTTAAGTATAAGAGCATGCTTCATAAATCTAATTTTAGTTGTTAGCTTGGAAGAAGAGTTAAAATAAGTGACAGATAAATCTTGGTATACTTTGTCGTGAAATTTGCAACATATCTCCATTAGACACATAGGTTCAGAATGGCTATTTTGTTTTATGTCAAGTTAGTTAGGCTCGTAAAGCTACAATATGAAGCATTTCCGAGTCGATAATCTTCAGCATGGGGTCATTTTCTCCTTAATGTTTTGATTGATTCAATATTAAAATGACATTCATGAGGGATTGGGCTCAAGGTGCAAGTTAATTTCATTATTGATTTTGTCCAGCATGCATAATGTCACGACCCAAATCAACTACGGGTCGTGATGGCGCCGGACACCGTTGTCAGGCAAGCCAACTAACTCATCCATTAATTTCTCTTTTAATAATTTTAAAAATCTAAGAGTTTTACTTCCATTTTTCATATATATACAACCTCTGTTTCAATTCAAATGAGGAGATAACTAATAATACGCAACCTTCAAAGAAAAAAAAAACCATCCCAGAACCCGGTGTCACAAGAGCATGAGCAACTACTGATGAGGACCATAAAATACAAATGTCTGTCCGAAATACAGTGGACAGAGACTGCATAAGTAAGGTATTGGAAGGGAACTACTCTAGCTACGGGTCGTCTCAAACAATGCAGCTCACCAAGTCCCCAAATCATCCGTGCTGCTACCAAATGTAAAATATACTTGTGCAACAAAAATGCACAAAAGTGTAGTATGAGTACGTAATCAACGTGTACTCAGTGAGTATCCCGCCTAATCCCGAAGGGGTAGAGACGAGATGGCCAATTTCGACACTCACTAGAGGTCAATTATCAATATTCAATAATGCGAGAATAATCCTGGATTCATATAGTAGTTCTAGTTCAGGAAGCCAGGAAAAACAAGAAAAATACCTTCAACAATAATCAAGGACTTCGAGGTTTATTCTTTATTATCTTATCAATTTATATCAAGCCACGTAGGGCCAATTCTACATTTGAAATTTTCAAGTAACAGATAAACACGCGCAAATCATGCCGAGGTCGACGGCCCGCTCCAACAGAAATGTAAATTGTGCACTGCCGAGGGTCGAGCGGCATGAACCATAGATGCATCTATTCTCACTGAGGCGTTCGGCCCGTTCCATAAATAAACACATACCCTGCTCGCGAATCATCCATGCGACGCAGGCACACATAAAATACATGCTCAATCAGTCAAATAAGAACTTATCGGGGAATATTTATTCAAATAAAACCAATTCTCCTTTAACAATTTAAGAAATGAAGTTTAATCCTTTTAGAAATTTACTTACCAATTCGATGTGAGTTAAACAATTCGAGCTACCAATGGGTTCATCCATGTGCAACATGTTTTTGGGTCCTAACTACCCGGACAATAGCATAATAGTAGCTACGCACGGACTCTCGTCACCTCGTGCGTACGTAGCCCCCACAAATAGGAGCACATAATCAATTACTTCACCTATGGGGTAAATTCCCCCTCACAAGATTAGAAAGGAGACTCACCTCGCTCCGAAGACTCATAACCGGCATTCAACATTCTTCCGAAGGCTTGAACCGACGCACAATGCACCAAAACTAGCCAATTAACGACAAACTAATGAAAACATGCTCAAATACTTGTTAGAAATTCAAATTATTCAGATTCCCAACTCCGCTTAGTGAAATGACCAAAATGCCCTCGGGCCTAGGTGCCCGAAATCCAAAATTTCTCGAAGACAAAGGTTACCCATGACATCAGGAACTCAAATATATATTTTTATCCTAACTCCATACTCAAAATCGTGGCTAAATTCCAAGAATATCATTTTCTAGGTTTCCACCAAAAAAACCTCCATCTTTACACTAATTTTCATGCTTAACTCCATACATAATTGATGTATTTAACTCAAAAGTGATGGGGATAACTTACCTTTATATACATGACGAAGTTCCACTCTTTGGAGCTCCCCAAATCGCCCCAAGCCATGAACCAAATGAGAGAAATGAATTCATTCACGATTTAAAACAACCTTATTGCCTCCAGGTGTTCCGCTTCTGCGGTGCAATTTCCGCTTCTGCGGATGTCGCTTCTGCGACTATTTAACCGCTTCTGCGGTTTTGGGCATGAGGGAACTGGCCACTTCTGCTGTCTGGGGGCCGCTTAAGCGGAACCGCTTCTGCGGTCCCTGGGCCGCTTCTGCGGTTTTCCTTGGACCTGGCCCCTTCCGCTTCTGCGAGCTTTTGACCGTATCTGTGGTCCCGCTTCTGCGGTCCAAGAACCGCAGATGCGGTTATGACAGAAGCAGCAAAACTCAAGCCTTCCCAAATTCCACTTTCGATCCGTTAACCACCTGGAATCCACCCGAGGCCCCCGGGACCCCAACCAATCATACCAACCAGTCCCAAAACACATTACGGACTTGCTCGAGGCCTCAAATCATAACAAACAACGCTAAAACCATGAATTACACTCCGATTCAAGCTTTATGAACTTTGAACTTTCCAACTTTTATTTCCGATGCTTAAACCTATCAAATCACGTCCGATTGACTTCAAATTTTGCACACAAGTCATATTTGACATTACGGACCTACTACAACTTCCGGAATCGGATTCCGACCCTGATATCAAAAAGTCAACCTCCGATCAAACTTCCCAAAAACCTTCAAATTTCTATCTTTAGCCAAATGGCTTCAAAATGACCTACGGACCTCCGAATTCACTTCCGATCGCGCCCCCAACTCCAGAATCACCATACGAAACTACTCCCAGTCTCGGAATTCCAAACGGACATCGATAACTCTGAAATGCACTTCAAACCAAACTTATAAAATTCCTTCTAAAATGCTAACTTCCATAATAGGCGCCAAAACGCTCCCGGGTTATCCAAAACCCGAACCGGGCATACGCCCAAGTCCGAAATCATCATACAAACCTGCTGGAACCTTCAGATCCTGATTCCGAGGTCGTTTACTCAAAATTCCAATCTTAGTCCATTCTCCCAACTTTAAGCTTCCGAAATAAGAATTCTCTTCCCAAATCAACTCCGGACTTCCCGAAATTCAATTCCGACCACGCGTACAAGTCATAATACCTGAAATGAAGCTGTTCGTGGCCTCCGACTGCTGAACGGAGCGCTAGTACTCAAAACGACCGGTCGGGTCGTTACATGTTTATTCTCTCACCTCCTATATATATTATAAGCATTCCCTTTTGTCCCACGGTCCTTAGCTAGAATACCTTAATTTGTTGGTTGTACTTTAGGTCGACCCCCTTAAATGTCACGACATATACTTCGCCGTATAGGCTTTCTGATAGTTCGATCTCGGTAGTGGCCGAGATACTCGTCGTTATGATGCCTAGCAGATACAACCACGGCTTAGTCGGCCCCTTGCCATCACTTTTAGCACTAATCTACGTATGGCCAGATTTTGACCCATACACCCCCGACCCCGCGTGTAGCGAGGGCTTAGTGCACCGGGCTGCCCATTTTAACTTAGAACAAACTGTAAGAAAGCTCTTTCAGTGCAGCTCTATCGTTATAACCAATGAGAAGCACCAAGACGAGGGATGGCATATACACGTCGCAATAAAGAACTCCAATGCTTCAAAGAACAATGCAACCAAAAGAATAAGGCAAGCCTTTAATCAGTTCGAAGGAAGACAGTGTAACGTAACCTTTCACAAAGGATTTGCAAACTTGTATATATATAGAGAGAGAGCGCGCGCGCTAATGTTGTTACTTGTTTTGGAGCAACCAAATTTGAAGAGACGATAAGTTAGAATTTGCAAAATATCAAGAGTTAGAAAAATTTATGAAGCTCATTTATTCAAAAACTATATACAACACGCCTATTTACAAGGTATTTGAGGTTTTAAGCACTCTGCTTCAGTTCAGAACCTGTCAACAGCTTCAGCTATTGAGTTGAGAGGAGGTTCTATAACCAAAAGCAAGGAAGCCAGCAGCAGAATGAAGACTGAGAAGTAAATAAGAGATTTACAAGGATCTGAATATTGTTCAACAAGTGTGATTCCTTCTTTTTGACCATTTTCTGAAGCTGCATTGTCCAATTGAAGAGCTGGACATGTAAGATAGCCATATGCTATTCCCATTAAAGCTGCTCCAAAATGTGCCCTGCAATTTTAAAACGTCAAATATTTTAAAACAAATCAAGTCTGCCAAAACGACTAATATTTAAGACTGAATGTTGTACTAACCAGTCATCTATAGGCCCCAAGTTGCTAAGAACAAAGCTGAAAGCAGTAGCCATTATCGCTTTCTCAATCATGCTTTCTTTTCCTAGCATGTCTTTGTTCCGAACTTGATAAATGAGCCAAGCTCCTATTAAAGCAAAACCAGGTCCCTAAGAAGTACAATTTTTGACTTAGATTTTCATTTTTATAAATATGTATAATAAAAACATGCTTCAACTCCACATTTTAAAAACTTCTGAGGAAGGCAAGAGCAGAAATTGATGCCAAATAGGAGGGAAAAAAAAGAATTTGATGTAATAGCAACGGAACTTACAGTTCCTCCAACAGTTGGGTCTGGGGTATGAAGAAAGCTGATGAGGTTACCAGAAATACCTCCAAGAACATATATCAGGAAAAATGCAAACGAGCCGTATGCTTTACATACTTGAGGCCCAAAACTAAGAAGCACCCAACAACCAAGGGCTATGTGAAGGACTCCTGAGTGCTGCAATATAGCAAGATCAACAATCAAATTAAGTCGATTTAAGTTATATTCAATATTAATTCATTCAAAGAAAGAAGAATTTAACTTTCTGCTTGGTTGCTGGTACTTCGCATCTGACTATCATAAATCACTTGATCATATACCATGCTACAATCTTATTATATTTTTATACAATTCTAGGGCTCTAGGTAGAGGTATGGTCTACGTACACACTACCCTTCCCAGACCTCACCTTTAGGAATATATTGGGTTTGTTGTTGTTGTTGTATACAATTCTAGGGAAATTCAATCATTTAAGGACGAACCAATTTTCAATCTTGTACCAGAAACATTGGTGTCAGAAGTCTCCACCATTCACCAAGTAGGATCAAATGATTTATCTTCGCGCCATATACCATTGGAAGTGAAAGCATCCCTATTTCAGAGTTCCTGACTGGACTAGCTGTTTCGAAGAGGAAAACTGCAATGTTTATAGAAGCCAGTATTCCTCTTCATTAAGAGAGGCACGAAGCATTAGAAATGGTAAGAAACCTAGAAAATATACATGACTAAAGTATCAGTAGCAAAATTTCAATAGGAAGTTGGCGTCTTACATAAAGTAAAAACTAGATGATTCTTGGTTAGAACTGTCAATGTCCTTAGCCTTTAACTTCATGTACTGTTTTAGTTTCTTAGCTCTGCCACCACTGTCGATCATTTTCATTGAAAAATATGATGCTTCTTCAAATGTTTCGTCATCAGAAACAGAAAAAGCATGCAATTTTGACTCTGCACCTGAACAAGGTAAGTATAAGGTTTGCTAGATCACAACAATAAAGGTGATAGTATAAAGTTAGTCCATAGGATAGCAGTGCTTGCATTCTTACCTCCATTGGCTTTTCCACTGAAATCATTTAAAGATTTCAGTGACTTCTCTGCTTTAAGTTGATGATTTTTACCAGTTAGTTCTTCTATCTCATTCGAAGACGAAGCTCCTGTGCTATTATGAAGCTTCTTGAAGTAAGAATCTAAGGCTCTCAGTTGCTTCTCCTGACTGTTCAATGCAGATTTCACTGTCCCAAATATACTTCTCTGAGTACTATGTGAAAGCCGGGATACGAAGAGGTGCATTCTTTTATTCTCCTTATATACATGACTTATTTTAGGCACAACCAGCTGTGGGATGCATCCATTGTGATGAACTCTTCCCATTAATACATTAGTGCATACCATTCTGTTTTTTTCAGTAATGTACTGGTTCCTTAAGGTAATGCATGCATAGTCATTCTTGCTAGTGACCTTAGATAAATCTTTGCGAATTGAGAAAAAAGTGCTGATAAATTTCTGCATCCATAAGAAGATTTGTGTAAGGAACAAATGCGCTTACAATTTATATATAAATACCAATGAATTGTATGAACTTCAGGTTTTCTGGAAGTATCCTACGTACAATTTACAAGCCTCAAGGGTGTCATGTGTGAGAGCAGCCTCTAATGAAATGTGTTATTCTGTGTTGTTTTTTTCTTGGCATATCCTTTGTAATTAAGAAAGAGACAATATATTTTGCCTTGGTTTTGTTGATCCACACAAGTACATTTCATTTGGGGACATCTGAAGAAACTCAACAACTATTTACAACCGAAAAAAACTATGTCAAGTTTCACAAGATGTAATCAATGTTCTCTTCTAGATATCTGTTGAAGTTTGACGGCAAATGATAGGAAAGGATATATGATCATAATTGCTGAATACCGACTAAAGTATTACTGAACTAAATGTCATGCACTAAAGAAATTCAAATTCAAAAGAAGGTATTTAAACTGAGTTCAATGAGAGATCCAAAATGGAACCTTCTCTCATATTTGGAATGCAGTAAATATGACCGAGTTTATTGCATACATGTTCATGAATAATTGAAATAGAAACCATATTTCAGGGGTTATTGTTGTACCTTTTATCTTCATCTACTAGCAGATTCTGATCCTTATTTATAGGTGCAATGATTTAATTTATACACACTAACAATAACTGTTTTATTACATTATCATATAAGTATATCTTAACGTTTTGTAGCAGGTAGCATATGTCTTATTTCCCAGGTTACTAATTCTAATTTTTGTAAAAATTTCTTTTGCAATGGATTGAAAGTTGAAACTCGTGAAAATAGGCCATTTCAAGATTTAGCAGAATCACCTGCCAGAAATTTGAACTGCCTTATTACAGCCAAAAGAAAAGCTCAGATGTCAAAACTATAGCAATGAAACTTCCATTAATGGATAACAGCAAACAGTAGATCATTAAACCTTGCCAACCCAACCCTTTCGATCGGTTTTCCACATAAAAAGTTCCATGCTACAGAGACTTTATTATTCTACCTTTACTATAAACATCAGATAATAGATCATGGATGGATGTGTAGTAACAGAAGACAGTTAGTGGAGTATAACGTATGACCTTTAGAGAAGAACTAAAAGTGATCTTCCGAGATAGTTGGAGAGATGTCCATAAACAAAACAGCAGCCACGAGCCTCATCAGTTCCATTTAATGCAGGGAAGAGATTACAGTGTTAGCAACTATTATTAGAAGATCTTAATTACTAGGCAATGGAAGACGTACAAATTAAAGAATCAGAAAGATCCAAATGAAATTTTACCTTATCTCCGTTGTCCCACTAAAACTTTGCCACCTGTAGTTAAAACACTGCCATGGCCAGTATTTGGGCTTTGAGCAGGTCCTACTAAATCTATTTCGCTAAACCAGGATTAATGCTCCCAAGAAAAGGTTTCTTAGGTCAAATTTAGGCCGCACATATAACGTTCCTTTTCTTTTTTTCTTTCTATATAACAAGTGGACAGTATAGTTGCATATGTTTATATATGTATACTGTGACGACCCAAAGGGTCATCACCTGTTTTAAATGAATTTTGTGCTTCCGAGGCCTTGAAAACCTCATTTAGAGTCGCCTCGATTTGCGTGCACAATCCGGGCGCATAGCCGGAAAGCTTAAATGTGAAAATTCTATGAAAAATGCTAAATTTTGATATTAAAATGAATAAATTTGACTTCGGTCAACATTTTGGGCAAACGGACCCGGACCCGTGATTTGACGGTCCCGGAGGGTCCGTAGGAAAATATGGAACTCGGGCTATGCCCGGAATCGAATTCCAAGGTCCCGAGCCCGAGAAATGAATTTTTAAAAGAAATTGTTTTTCTGAAATTGTTAAGGAGAATTGAAATGATATTTGGTTAGAACGTGTTGGTATCGGGCCCGTATTTTACCCGGTACAGGTCTTATATGTGCTTTAAGTCATTTCTGTGAAATTTGGTTGAAAACGGACGTCGTTTGACGTGATTCGGACCTAAATTTGAAATTTTGATGTTTTACGAAGTTTGAAAGGATTCTTGGATTTTGAGGTTTAATTCGATGTTTATGATGTTTTTGAGGTTGTGTCCATAATTGGTTTGGAGCCCCGAGGGCTCGGGTGAGTTTCGAATAGGCCACGGGTTGTATTTTTTTGAATTTGCGAAGCCTGGCTCGCAAATGCGAGCTCGCAAATGCGAGAACTTTCTTCGCAAATGCGAAATCTCTCATGTTGGCCAGTGATCGCAAATGCGATCCTTATTTCGCAAATGCGACCATCGCAAATGCGACATGGGCCTCGCAAATGCGAAGGTCCGGAATTTTGGAAAGGTTCGAAAATGCGAACTAAGGTTCGCAATTCCCATATCTGCAGAGGTCGGGGTTCGCAATTGCGAACCCCTGTTCGCATTTCCCATATCAGAGACATGCAATTTTCTATACTTAACCGATTTTAAGTCATTTTTCACACCATTTTCAAAACACAACTCCTTTGGGCGATTTTCCAAGAACAAATCTTCTTCCAAATCAATTGTAAGTTAGTTTTTACTCATTTCTTTCAATCATTTACATCTTTTAACATGATTTCAACCAAAAATCAAAGATTTTCATGGGGGAAATTGGGTGTTTTGGTAGAACCTAGGTTTTTCAAAAAATGGGGATTTGGACCTCAATTTGAGGTCCGATTTCAAAACAAATTATATATTTGAGTTTGTGGGGGAATGGGTAATCGAGTTTTGGTTCGAACCTCGGGTTTTGACCACGTGGGCCCGGGGGCGATTTTTGACTTTTTGGGTAATACATTGGAAAACTCATTTTCATGCATTGGGGTTGATTCATTTAGTGTTTATTAATGTAATTAAGTAATTTATGATTAGATACGAGCGAATTGGCGGTAGAATCACGGGGTAAAGTTGTAGTTGAGGCTTGAGTGGTATTCAAGGCATTGAGGTAAGTGTTTGGTCTAACCCTAGCTTGAGGGATTAGGAGTTGAGTCTTATTTGCTAATTGCTTCTTGTTGAGTATGACGTATAGGCATGGTGACGAGTATCTATACGTTGGTGCCGAGCATGACCGTGAGTCTTAAATTGATAGTTGTTGTGTTCTTAAATGACACTTCAGATGCTTTAAATTGATGACTCTTGATATTGAGTAGATATTTAGTTTATTTTCGTGGACTTTATTTATGCTTGAGTACTGGTATTAATCAAGCTGAGTAAGAGTTGAGCTAGGATTTGGTTATAGTTGATTCTCCCTTGCCGGGATGGTTATTTTGGTATTGTTGTTCCCTTGCCGGAAAATTTTTATTATATTGCTTTTGTTTTCCTTGCCGAAATTTTATAGTGACTTTGTGTTGAAATGAAATGGGAGCGGGTGGTACGCCTACCACGAGATTTGATGAAATGGGAGCGGGTGGTACGCCTACCACGAGTTATGATGAAATGGGAGCGGGTGGTACGCCTACCACGAGATTTGATGAAATGGGAGCGGGTGGTACGCCTACCACGAGTTATGATGAAATGGGAGCAGGTGGTACGCCTACCACGGAAACATTGAGAAATGGGATCGGGTTGCACGCCTACAACGGGATGTGTACTGACAGTGAAATCTGCTTTTATTTCCCTTATCCGTGTTAGAGTTAATTTATTGATGTTCCTTATTATTCTCTTGAAATTCTGTATTATCCGCTATCCCCGAAGCATGTTCCCCTCCCATTTAACATGTTTATTCTTGTTAATTTCCCGTTGTAGATGTATATATATATAACTGCACAGGTTTGTGTGGTAGTCCTGTCTAGCCTCATCACTACTTCGCCGGGGTTAGGCTAGGCACTTACCAGCACATGGGGTCGGTTGTGCTGATACTACACTCTGTGCTCTTTTGTACAGATCCAGGTATCGGACAGCAGCAGTAGTTCGGGAGTCTTCCTTCGGTCCACGAGACTCCGAGGTAGCCTTGCTGGCGTCCGCAGGCCTGGCGTCTCTTCTTTCAGTTTTCATGTTCTGTTGACATTTGTATCCGAGACAGACTATGTCCTTTATTTCAAACTCTTATTTGTAGTAGTCCTAGACAGTCCGTGTATTATTGTGACACCAGGTGCTGGGTAGAGACTTGTATTGACTTTCTAGACGCTGTTTCTATATTTAGTTCAGACTTCTGCTAAATTTTACTTTTTCGTTGTCTCTTTAACTGCTTATTCATTGATAATTTAATTGTTTAATCATGTATAACACAAGATAGGTTAATGTTTGCCAAGGTTCTTGGCTTGCCTAGCTACCACGAGTAGGCGCCATCACGACCCCCGAGGGTGGAAAATCCGGGTCGTGACATATACGGTAAAATTCAGTAACCATGGTGGCACCGGACATAAACATGTGATCGAATAAGAGGCAATTCAAGATATGATCGTTACAGAAGATCTGACCTCTATTAGCCTTTATTACCTTCTATTATTTATCATCTTTTAATTACCTTTTATTATAATATTAATATGAATCGATAATTAAGGTAGCATAATTTGTAGATCATACACTCCATAACTCTAGTATAAATATAGGCATTCATTATATTGTAAGACATCAAGAAGTACTGGCGGAGAAAGACTAATATTCTTTCTCTTTTTTTTAAGCTTTATTCTTGCGGTGGGAACATTTGGAAGCTCAGGCTTGTCTCTTCAATTATCCTTATTTACTCCGTTTGCATTATACTCCATCCGCTCCAAAATAAGTGATTTTTTAGTTGTTTTCACATAGATTAAGAAATCCACTTTTAACATTAATTAGCAATGAAATTGACCATATTAACCTTTACTATCTCTTCACATAAACACTCCTAACATATACTCCAACACTATTTACTCCAAGGGCAATGTAGGAAATAAATAATTAATTCATTCTTGAAATCTGAAAAATTCACTTATTTTGGACCACAAAATAAAGGCCAAAAAATTACTTATCTTTTACCGGAGGGAGTATTATTTTATTTTATCGGATTAATTTAATCCACATATCTATAAACCACGTTACAAATTTAATTGTACCGTTTTTCGGGTAAACAATTTAAGTAGGCTAATACTCCCTCCGGTCCAAAATAAGTGATTTTTTGGATGTTTTCACACAGATTAAGAAATCTACCTTTTAGCATTGATTAGCAATGGAATTGACCATATTAACCTTTACTATCTCACATAAACACTCCTAACACATATTCCAACGCTATTTACTCCAAGGACAATGTAGGAAAAAATTAATTAATTCATTCTTGAAATCTGGAAAAATTACTTATTTTGGACCGGAGGGAGTATTTACTGGGGTCGACCGGCAGCACTCATTTATGTTTTGATTTTATGATAAGTAGGCTCTCCTAGTGTAAATATTTTTAATATCGATATATTATCAGTAAAGAAGTTTAACATGTGATAACATATTAATTATTAATTTTACAAGTACAATTTATTATAGAAACTTATAAGTATATAATTACCTTCAATTAGCAGCATATCTTAGAATGGCTATCGAAGTGACCCCTCAAGAACTCTTATGATTTTCTGATTATACCAGCTGTAAAACTAATAATTAAGGTACTAAATATGTTCTTTTAACTAAGGTGTTGACCAAGATCAATCTTAGTGATAATTGCTTGATAATTTTCACTAAAGTCATTCTTCATTAATTTAAGCCCTTTTTTCTCTTTGGGGGCTTCTTTACTACTGTTTTCTTTTTCCTTTTCATTACTTCGATTTTTAGCTTTTTTTGAACCGAGAGTCTATCGAAACGACATCTCTACAGTTAAGGGTAAGTTCTGCATAAACACTACGATTCTTAGACCTCACTTATGAAATTATATCGGGATTGTTGTTATTGTTGTACTCTCTTTCAGAATAGGAGTACTGCTGCAAAATATAATATATTGATTGGTGTTTTCTTTTTTGAGCATCTTTCTCAATCAATATCAGTTTCTCAATCACGAACCGTACGTGCAATAATTGGACATGTTTAAACAGTATGTTTGAATAGATTCTTTTGCACCCGTAGCACAGAATTTTGGTTTCTAACGGAAGCATGCATGCACGTGATAGTCAAGTCGTCAGCTCTACTCAGAACAAAATTATGTTACGATGCAGAGAAACAACATAAGTACATAACATACCTAGAAGGCAAAAAAACATAAAAAGATTAAAAAAAAAAAAAAAAAAAAAAAGCAAAAATGCATGGCCCTATTCTGAACTGCTGCAATTCATGATTGCACTTTCATGTTCCTCTAATAGATTTTGTGGTATCTAAGAAACAAGAGAGAAAGAGAGAAGAGACAAAGTTATACTGATCAAAGGGAAAGAAAGAATCTTTCTATCCAAAAGCAAGGACATAACATTGTTCCATTTAACATCCATTTATATGGCAAAGAAAAATGTTGTTCTTCCTTATTGATTTACAGCTAGTACTATTATGCTTTTTCTCTCTCATACATAAACTCCTCCATGGCAAGCACCCTGCACCAATTTCCCTGTACCTGCTCTTACTGCTCTGCTTCCCTTTGTAATTATTATTACTTGTATTTCTCATCTCTTCCACCTGCTCCCCATTTCTTTTTGTGTCTTCTTCTCGTCTTGTTTCTTTCACTTCCACCTATAAACACATTCAATGTCACCATCTCTAATGTTTGCATGTGATTCTGAACTCAATCCACAATATCACTTCGATTGGGAAATTACTTAACTCGTGTCATAAACAATATCCTTATTTTTGTTTGTGCACTTAAATTATATACATTGACAGCTAATTTTTCGTTTATATATATATATTCTCATAATTTAACATACTACAGCAGTACTTCAGTTACCATTTTTACAATGTTATCTATTACTGCTATAGTAGAGATTTACCTTTAATTACATTATATGTATCCCAAATTGTGTAAATAGGAGTATCTTTTACTATGGTGCATAGAATTCTTGTTTTTTAAGCATTTTCTTTTGGTATATGCTTTACCTGAAAAAGATGACTATGATACAAGGCCATGGTAAAGCTCTCAAGATCTTTTAAGAATCTTAAACTAAAAGTTAGTATGAGTATAAAATAGCTATAGCTGGAAAGAAGAAAATAAAAAAAGGTGAGATAAGGTGCAGTTTGAGGGAGTTTAACTTCTATACATATATAATACAGTGACCGTTCTAATTTATAAGCCACCTAAAAGAACAACTGATTATGCATAACAGCCTACTATAATAACCTGAAAAGGTACAAATTAAAATATATTAGTAGTATAAAAGAATACTATACTTGCGTGTATATAACTTAAATTCACTTTGATAAAGGGGATGCTGATATGGTACTAGAAAGAAACTTTTGTTTCTTGCATGAATTATTGAAAAGTACGTAGTTGAGAAGATGACAATTCCTAAAGAATCTTTTCGGTGGAGCGCATAACAAGTGATCTTTTTCCTCTACAAGCACACAGCTTGTAACCATTTCTAGTAAATTCAAACTAAAATAAAAAGGGAAAAATAAGTGAAAGCTAGGATGTCTCACTCGTTCCAAGAAGTAGCACAAAAACTTACTTAGTGCCCACAAATGCAAGTAATGTCATTTTTGCATGTGCATGCTACTTTATATATGCTCTAGGGACCAATTAATTGTAAAGTCTCCCACCGAGTACGAAAAGCAATATCACTTTTACAAACTTCTAAAATCAACTTATTTTGAAAAATATTTTCTCAATAGTGCATTTACAAAAAGTATTTTTGGAGCGAAGCAATTTATGTTCTGTGAATTAATTTGAAAAATACTTTTGAACAGTACCTTTAATTTTCCACCAAGATTGATCCGCCACTGATGTTTGTATCAGGGTAGGTTGCCTACATTACACTCTTGGGGTACGGCCCTTCCCTGGACCCTGCGTGAATGCGGGATGATTTGTGCACCGGGCTGCCCTTTTATTTTTGAGCAGTAATTATGCTTGACCAAACTTTTAAAATGTACTTTTAAGTGTATTTTTCTCAAAAGTACTTTTTTAAAAAGTACTTTCGGGGAGAAGCTACTTTTTTCTCCTTTTCAAAAAACTGTTTCTACTTCTACTCATCAAAAAAAAATTTCCTTCTAAAAACTTGATCAAACACCTTAACTTTAAAAAAAAAAAAATACTTTCGGCCAAAAAGACGCTAGGGCAAATAGTCTATTAGTCAATCTTGGTGCAAAAATTGAAGGTATGCCTATATCTCGTGAGCTAAGAACAATTGAACTACTAATTACTCTACAAAAATAGATGCTAAACAAAAACGTGCATTTTAGACTACGACTAACTAAAACAGAAATTAACTTATATATTGATAGTGTAAATAAATTTTTACACTATCATTGTTGAGTACCTTATATTCCAGGTCGCTGATCCACATTTCATTAATTAGACAGTTATTTATAGTTACCTTTCAAATATTACATGTACGCCATGCAAACAGTTAATTAATTAATTAAGTATTGGGGTTTGTCATAGAAATTAAAGTACAAAATAATTACGTACCAGTACTTTCTCAGATTTTAATTCAGGAGTAGTCATAGGTGAATCATCAGCATCTGCTTGACAGCGTTTTGTAGATCTTTCCTCAATGGATGGAGTACGAGCAGGACTTGGACTCTTTGAACTCATGTAACCTGGACTACTGCTCTGTATTCCCACATCTCTAGTAATGCTACTCTTCTTCTCTAAAATAATAAAAATGTACAAAACAGTAAGCGACTGAGTAGAACAAATGACATAATTTAAGTTATATATACTGACAGTGTAATTATAATATTTAACATATTATAGTAGCGAGGAAATGGAAAAGAGAACAATTGTTTAGACCTTTGCTTGGAATTTGTACTTCAATTTCATGTGTAGACAAATGAGGTACTACTTTTATAGGAGGTTTTGTTTGGAATTGTCGAGTCTGAAATTGAGAAGGATAAATCAAAGAGGCAGACATGGTGATTTTGCTGGTTAATTGGCGAAATGATCTCCCACTTAGTGTTTTTGCTGATAGACATTCCAATGGAACTTCTCCTGATAATGGATTACAGATATATTTCTCAGCTTCATTCCACTTGGAATTTAGAGCCAATCCATCTGGTGACATGTATTCCCAACTATTTACTGTTTTTGCCTTCAATGCTGCACTCATAAAACAAACCAAAAATTCTGTGAAGTTCAAAAATGAAAGAATTTGGCTCAAACAATATACATATATGCTAGGGCAGTCCGGTGCACAAGGCATCCCGCCGCGTTCACACAAGGTCCGGGGAAGGTCCGCACCTCAAGAGGTGTGATGTAGACAGCCTACCCTAATGTAAGCATTAGACGAAGATAACTTTACTGTTGCTCCAAGGCTCCATTCGAATATACACATATGCTAAAGAAATTAAAATATCACGCATTCTGAACTCATCGACTCTAGATGTTGAATTCGACATAAGTTTTGACTGATATTCTAAAGGACTCACCTTTAAGGGCTGTGGTAAAAGAATAAGTTGAAGGGTCAATTTCTTCTGTAAAAAAGATTAAAACTTTAATGAGAAAATAGTAGGATAAAACAATAATGAGGAGGAAAGAGGTAAATAGTGTTAGTTGTATTACCTCTTAAGGTGTAGCCAGGGGAAGAAGCAGTACTTGAAATAGATATGTTTGATCTAAAAGACTTAGCATCTTCTCTGAAACTTCTAATATAAGAAGCTGAAAATCTTCTTGAATTGGTATTTTCTCTGCTAAATTTGGCCTTAAGAGTCCATTCTCTTAAGTTGAAGTCTCCATCATCTCTCCTTCTTGAACTTCCAATAGTTGACTGTTCCATACTATGTTCTAGTTTCATGATAATGAAGATTTTGATGGTCTTTAAAAGTTGTTCTCTATTTAAATAAAAAAGAAAGGAGGATATCTAAGTTTCAAAAAAAAAAGACTTTTGACTGCAGAATCAGCAAAAAAACAAAAGATGCTAAAAAGAGCAGCTGCGCAACAAGTAACTTCCAAAAAATAAGACTCAGAGATTTCAAATTTAAATTTCTTATTTGAAAGCAACCCATACCCTCTTTTAAAAATAAAAGAAAAAATTCATGAGGTTAAAAGTGGGCCAGATGAATATTTGGTTTATCTGCAAATAAAATTTAAGGAGAGCCTGAGAGGTCCAATCTGATAATGGTTTTACAACAAAAAAGGAGGAGAAGTTTGGTGACTAAGTGAACTAGAGTAGGTAAATATACCCCGTACTGGACATACAATTTGGTATATCATAATTAATGACCATTTGTTCATCTATCTTTTTTCTGATGGGTCACCATTTTGTTGTTCAATTCCCAATTTAGGGCTGAGCTGAAATGATATTGTTGGGACATGCATTGTGGTCCATCTTAATATTTGGAACAAATGATATAGCCTTGTGTAGATGAGATGAATGTAATCAATCTTGATTTTGTTAATCTTCTTGTTTAATTTTAGTTAAACAATATATACCGTTGCTTCCAATATGCACCATAATATTGTTCTATGAAAGCGGGCGGGTTAGTATTTTGGCCTGGTTGGCTTTTCATCCGTCATTGGTTTTTTATATCAGAATATGTATTTTTCTCATATATAAGGTAAGACTGCGTACAATAGACCCTTATAGTCCGATCCTTTTCCAGGCCTCGCGCATAGCAAGAGCTTAGGCACCGGGCTGCCCTTTTTACTCTCCTCACATATAATTCAATAGCACTAGTAATTCCTCCGACACAATCATCAAGATGTAGCTTTTCCCCTTCTTGAATCCACAATATACTCCCTCATATTTGGAAGAAAAGTGAAAGAGAAGGAAACTATTGTTTAGTCTCTAAAAAGTTCCTAATAAACCTAGCAAAGCTTTGTAATTGAAGCAGCCAACATTGAAAGGGACAGGTGGAAATACCCGCCTTGCCACATTCAAAATTTTAAGAGAGGAAAGTTCTTTATTATGCGAATTAAAATTCTTTAATTCAATAAAATTTCAAAGTGTAATAAAGACATGTTAGGCGAGAAAATCCAATTGATGGCCATATCCTTGAGATATTTGGGAGGGGATAAAACTTCAGTGTTGGGTTATTTTCATTGTGAGTTGGAAAGATTGTGTTCAAAGAGAAAGGAGAATAATGAATATTGTGAGAGGATGAAATTTAGGTGGCGTTTGGAGATAAAAATATGTGAGATTTAAAAAAAAAAGTGATTTTGAAGTTAAATTAAAAAAAATATTTAAAAATTGTATTTCACTTGAAATATATTATGGTTTTGTAAGAGAAAAACATTATTTACTTTAAAAAAAAAAAGATAAAACCCACTTTTTCAAGTTTGAAACTCATCTTAAGATTTTTTATAACTCATCTTTAAAATTCAATGAAATATACAACCAAATACTCGGTAATATTTTAAAGATGAATTCAAGAAAAAAGAAAAAAATTGTATAAACAAACGGGTCCTTAATTTCAAGTGTAGTCAAAGTGAAATAAAGGGATATTGAAAAAAAAAGAAGATATAGTTATATTTGTGGACACGCATGAATACATGTGAAGATGTCAAGATCATACTCGTAATAATTAGGGGTAGGCTAGTAGGAGGGTAGGTCCATTATCTTGTGGGCACATAGTTATTGTCAGGTTTTGGCTTAAGTGTATGCAAGGTAGGTTTCATATGGCAGTTTAGATAGATATTCAATTGTCTCATGTCACATTTAGCCATTTGATCCTTAAAAGAGAAAAAGATGTTGATCATTTTCGACTGTCGCACTTTTCCATTTTGTAAGGAATATTAAGCCTGCCCAAACTTATAAAAGAAAGTGTTTTTTTTTTTTCAAAAGTACTTTTGGTGAGAATCAATTTGTATTTGGCTAATTAATTTGAAAAGCACTTTTGAGCAACAATTAATGTTTGGCTAAATTATAAAAAAGTACTTCTAAGTGTATATTTCTCAGAAGTGCTTTTCAAAAAAGTGTTTCTGGTAAGAATCTACTTTTTTTCTTGTTTTTCCAAAACTGCTTCTGCTTCTACTCAAACACACTTTTTTTTCCTTCTAAAAGCTTGGCCAAACACTTCAACTAAGTGCTTTTACACGATTTTAAGAGGGTGTTTGGATTGACTTTTTTTTTTTTGGTAACTAAACTCTTTATTTACCAAGTAAACATATACAGCTCAATACGAGAAAAAAAACACAAACGTGCTGTCTTGGACATATAGTCCCAATCCAGCCAACTACACATCTTCTCTATTGCTCTAACCTTCTATCATTCACTACTAAGGATAAAAGTTCAGATTCTCCATCTTCCTCTTTAAGCTAGGAAACTTCGACCCTCTACAATGGATTTCTTGGATAATATGTCTTTCCAATATCTCACTAGTTCGCCTCTTGTGTTGAAACAGCCTCATGTTCCTCTCCTGCCAAATGCAATACAAACATCCAGCCAAAATCAATCTGTACATAGCAGCAGTATCAGACTTCCCCTGCCCATATCTCACAGCCCATCTCATTTCATCATGCCATCCCATAGATTTCCTATTAATACCTTGCCATCCCAATATGCTGTCCCAGACAGTTGCAGAGTGACAACATTGAAAGAATAGGTGATTTATGAATTCATCTTCATTGTTGCACAGAGGACATTTCAAATCATCCACATGCTTCTACTTTGCGAGCCTATCCTTTGTAAGCAATCTTTCATAAATAGCAATGTATAATATGAACAGCCATCTTGGTGTCCCTAAGTTATTGCATATTAGTCTCTTCCAGATAACTTTTTGAAATTCTCCCCTAATTTTGCATTACATTCCTTTTGTGGAGAATGTAATCATTTGAGTTACCTGCACTTCATTGCATCCAGCTTGTTCAAACACTTCTTACGCATTCAAAATTTTCCTGACCACCCATGAAGCTCTGTCCACCCTTGGATTGACTTTTAAGCTGGTCAAATCAGTTTTTAAGCTCTTTTCAATTTTTTGGCAAAGTTAAAAAGTATAGTAAAATTAGTTAAAACTTGCTTAAAACAAGCCAAAATCAATAAATAAGACTACCCCAACTTATGATTTTTTGGCTTAAAAGTTATTTCTGCTGGAATATCACTTTCTTAAAGCCAATTCAAACGGGCTCTAAATTTCTTTTATTATATATGTATACATAGTTTAAGTAGTTGGATTGAATTCACAAAACTCTAGCTAAATCTGCCTCTAAACTAGTGGCTATCAGGCCAAATTCCACGCTGCCACTCAAAGGAAATAATTATTTGTACGCTCCCAACTCTTGAGTGGAAATGAGAATCCAATTTTATTTTCTGTCCCTAATTTTGAATACTGATTTACCCGAACTTGTTCAGTTGTTTACAGTCAAAAGACAGACAAGGAATTGATGTCTGAAGAATCTTTTGCTGTACAACTCATCCGGACCACACTTCAAACAGCAGCAAGCCGATAAAAAGGAACAAAAGCCTCAATTACTTTTTCTTCATTGTTAAGTGGTAACACACATGATTCTACCTGGTAGTTACAGTTAAAGCTTCATTTTCTCAACAGTGAAACCTACATAGTTAAGCTATTCAGATACTGTTTCGACAAACGCCCTCTAACCCCCCCCCCCCCCCACACACACACAAAAACGNACAACACCAGTAATTGTCCAGTCGGCAATGATCCTCAGCCAGAAACCAAATCAGAATTAAGCTGCATACAAGTAAAGAACTTAGCACAGCGGTGAAGAGTTCCACTTAAGTCACCAAGTTGAGTTCTACAGCATCTATAGTACTCAAGAGAAAGGCAAGAGATAATAGCAATAAAGAGATAGAAGGTCGAAGGAAATTGTTACCCTGCTAATTAACATCCTCGAGATGATTCTCGACTACAATCATGAATAGGCTAAAGACTTCTTATTCCATAATATGTGGTCAATGAATAACGATGTAGTATGACAGCTTAAGTATCCAGGTATCAGTATAACCATAACCCCATCTCCGACATACATAATTCTGACAAGCTTATTACAGAAAGAAGCTAAACTTCCAAAAACAAGCCGATATTAGACCAATACAATGGCAGAAGCCCTCTTACCACACGTCTCAACATGGATGCTTGATCTCATACCCCATCAATGTTGAGGATTCCAGTAGCAATGACCAGGAACACATGTAACACTTACATCATCATACATGCAGCTTCAGTGGTTACAATGCACTATCTTTGCAGTCATGGAAGTCGTGCAGCACGCAGGCATCAATTGCTGAAAGAGTTGACCTCGCCCAACAGCCAATAGTCAGATCCTCCAATAGCTTCTCTACCAACAAAAACACAATATAAGGTATTAAATATGTTTCTTATACAACGTACTTCTGATGCATTAATTATATGGTGTATCAAATAATTCACTGAAAGTAAAATATGAAACTTAACAAAATTTCGACCCAGATACAACAGTTGAAGATCTAGTTGAATTGACTCAATTATTCACCCTTCATAAGTTATCCGAGAAATAATGACATCTCAACCGGATTAGAATCCATCATAAGAATGTAGTTATTCTTTAAAATTCTTCTATCCATAACTCGTGCCACCACGCACACATTTTTGAGAAGGAGAAGGAATTTTTTTATTTTTTTTAGAAAGACGCCACCACAACCATATACTTCACAAACAATGCATTTATCAATATTTTGCAGATGCATTGAATAGTTACAGGTAAACTATTCGTGTGGAATAGATTATGCTACACAGTCCTCTATGCGACCCTCTAACCGATCCAGTTTCTCAAAAATGGTCTTTCACAAAATACTTCTGAACCCTAAAAACACTAGCAAGTTCTTAATACATCTCTCCCAGATACTGAAAAGGTTTTCATCTGGTAGAGATAGTGAGAAATGAAAAGATCAAGATGCTTACTTCAAGAGCTCAGTCTTCTTCACTTGATATGAACCATTTGATAGATATTGACAACTGCAGCTCAAAACTGCTCACCCCCGACAAAAGAAGTACAATAGCCAGGTGAAACAAAACGAAGATGACCATGTTCTAAAACTTAAAGAAGGAGCGTTATAATAAACAAATCATTTCTAATACTTACTCCTCCCACAAGAGAACTCCAGAAAAACCACCCGATTGGCATTACTTTTCTATCCAAATGTGAAACGTGAATAGCCTGCAAAAAAAGGGAGACGAGGAAAGGTTTATATTTCCAAGTCTTCAAAAGCTAATTTTGTTTATAAAGCACTGAAAACATGAAAAAATTTCTTCATACGAGCAAACAAAATAACTTGATAGTTATGTGTAAGATAGCTCATGTAAATATCTTTTTGACACCAATCAAGCAAAGAAATTTCTGCCGATGCCCATAAGAAATCACCTTGTCAGAAAATCCAAAATACTGGTAGAAAAAATATGTTAATGAAGGGGAGGACTCACTGACCAAAAAGAACCACTCAGCATCTCTAGGAAATTGCATATGCAAACATACTTCCTGAAAATAACAGAGGGTGTGATCAGCAGAAGTTCTTTATAACAAAGAGTTTGTTTTCCAACAATGACTGCAATATCTAGGGCTAATGCTTCTATTATATAAGTCAACAAATTACACCTGCAGGATGTTGTAAATTAATATTTAAAAAGTCAACTCATTTATTTCGAGCATGAAACTCAATAAATCGAACAGGCAGAATATTGACATTGTTTTTTTGGTAAGGTAATAAATTTCATTAAAAAAGGGGCAAAAACGTGCCCGACTACAGTCAACTAAAGGTCAAACTAACTGACCAACAGTTGCACAAAAGAAAGAATTAGTACCTTGTAATGGATGACCTCAAGCATGTTAGTTTAGCTTTGAGTTTGAACTACTCTTTATTCAAGCACGCTAACTACCTTGATTGAATTTTTACTCTTGTCATTAGTAGGAAAAATTTAGGGATGCATGCTCCAGATATAATTTTAGTTGTGCATACCTTGTCCAAGAAGCAATACTGTATTCGCAGCCAAAGCTGCAATTTCTTGGACCTTTTCACTGGAAAATATCGCTTGCACAACTACATAAAGGTAAAAGAAGAGAACAGTTACTTAAGTTGCTAATAGCTCTTAACGTTATAAATGATCAGTACTGATATAATCAGTGGTCAGAAAAGACCAATCACGTATTTAATCAAATTAATTCATCCTTCTTGGAATAACCTCAAGGAACAGAACATTTGCAAGTTGAACAAACATGCAGAATTGTTGAAAGACTGAGATGCTCTACGAATCACATCGATTATACTCTTAAGAGGATCCAAAAAACTCAGGGAGGGAAAAGAAAGACCAGGATTTATCTGGCTAGATGAACCATTGAAGATAACAACGATGCTCACTGAAAACCAGACCACCAATCACCTGATGGTAGACAAATACAGTATTGATGAACTTTGAAGGCACTTTTGATATGACATAGTCATGAGCACCTTGGGAATCTAATGGAATAACCCATGTACCCTCCTAAGTCCCAAATGACACTTGGATTGTGATAGCACAATGCATTATCAATAGAAAAAGGAAGCTGATAATACAAGGATGGCAATCTTAAAATAAACAAATGAATGTTCTTCATCTAAGCATATCCTCATACATGTAAAACCGTCCGAAGTTTGAACTGAGTGCATATTTGGTGTTACATATCATTTTAATAGGCAACTGAATCAGAAATATTAAAGGCATAATTCATGATATAAAATGCTTCTCCTATTTTAGAAACATGATAATACATGAAAAACAATACCTGAAGTATGTACAAGCTTCTCTGCAGGGTCTTTGCTGTCAGTTTGATTGACAGAAGTATCCATGTCCGTCACCACCATCATGTGAACAGTATGGAGTGCATCTGACATCCAAACAGTCTGTGATCCTGAAAAGATGGAACATTCAATGGCATTACAGAACAGAGTTTTTTATTCTCATGATAAAGCTAAAGGAGAATGCTGATATTCTATGACATAGCCTTTTTATGCAAATTTCTGAAGCAAGATATTAGTAAACTAACACGGCATTACGGAATGAACACAAAGTTATGAATTGAAAGGGATGGGCTTATACTTGTAGAAGAATCCGGAAAAACAACGAGCTTTCGAACTTTCATGTTGTGAGTCAACTGTTTCATGTAATAAGGAGTCTCTGATCCCTGGACAGAAGTTGCCAGGAACAAGAGGTGAAGATTTCCTTCAGAGTCCAAGATCAGATACTTGGTTGAAGACAAGGCCTGAATGCCAATTGCTTTTGCTGACTTAGCCGGCACCTTGATCGACTCGAAATTATCATCCTTGCTCTTGAATGCCACAAAGCTTGCAATCCATTCTCTGGAATCTTGTCTAAGTCTCACAGACCTTAACTTTGCTGCAAGTTAGAATGCACAATCAGCAGCTGTAGGAAATGACAAAATTAGAGCTTCAAGATCTAATATGATGGAGAAATCACAGAAAACTCAAAGCAAGTTGTAAAATGATACATTATTACATTTTAAAATAGCAAAAATAGCAGAGGTACCTTAGTCACAAAATTAAGACAAGACCAGCCCAAACAAAAGTAAAAAAGGAAAAAAAATGGTGATGGAGGCAGACATGAAAATAGTAGCAACTAGGGATTTTTTTTTTTACTGGAAATAAGTATAATAATCTCCTACAAGCCTTGTCATGCATTCATATCTTGAGCAGGCAAAAGAAACACAGAGGTACAGAGGACAAGAAACGGAATGCCAAGTGTTCCGCACCAAAATTCAAAGAATGAAATTAGGGCTAAAGTCTTCAGTTCGGTCATTAGCTTAACTAATTCACACCGCACTCTATGACTTTAACAGTGACATTATACAAATCGCTGGTGTCATACTTGTTTTGTACTATTTTTCATTAGGAAGGGTCTGTCACAAATGGCGGATAAGGATAAAATATTGCAACCCTAACCTGTTGGTTTATTGTTTGGAACAGGGAAGTTACCCCCTCCATCCCAAAATACTTGACCTACTCTCTTCTGTCATCCATCTTGAAAAACGTTAGCAATTTTTTTAACAGAACTTTTTTCTGCATCCTAACTCCTAAAATTCAAGAAAATATAACTAATGCTAGTTCACATTATCTCCAGGTCGATTTGACATCTTTCTAAATAACTACTTCAACCTTTCACATTTCAAAAAATATATTTTAAACGTGTATGAAACTCAATACAATAATAAACTCAAAAAATACTCTCAGTACCCGTGCAGGTAAAGATAGAACTGGAATAAAGCATCACCATCATTCCAACGTAAATATGCTAATCCAAGACTGTAACTGAACCAGACAATTTCCATGAAAGCACCATCTCATTTAGTTTCTTCACTCTTGATGATACCTTTCAGACCATAGATGTGTTTAGTTTCCAAGACAATCTCTCAGAGAGAGAGAGAGAGAGAGAGAGAGAGAGAGAGAGAGAGAGAGAGATTCATAATGGAAGATGAGGGAGGAAGTGTATCATCTAAAGAGAACTCACAACATAATTAAAGCCGTATCTTTGATAAGTCAAACAAAATATTACACCAGTTACAAGTCAACGAATCAATGGTGCCTCAATCCCAATTATTCAGGGTGTGCTATAAAAATCCCCTTTTTAATAAAGTAAGTAGTTTCATATTTGGAAACAGCAAGGTCTGCGTACACACTACCCTCCCCAGACCCCACTAGTGTGGGATAATACTGGGTATGTTGTTGTTGTTGTTGTAAGTAGTTTCGTATTCATTGATGGCATCAAGAAGATGCAATGGATACAAAAGAGAAACTTAGCTCCATAACATGACTACTTCCTAACATAAGATCAGGAAGTTAGCAAAATCAGAAAAATGATCAATATTAATTGTTGAACACAAGCTACTGAGAAGACATTTCGGGATAAGAATTCTCTGTATCCATTCTGCTCTATTCACGTTCATTTCATTTTGATACTAACTAGTTTTAAGAGTTCTCCAAAACTAGAGGTTGTGTACATTTCACTCTTATCCTTATGCGAATAAATAAGTCTCTAACCAGAATAAAGTGACGCTTTGACGAACACCCGGCATGTAAATAAACCTAATCTTAATTAATTGGTATCGCTTATAAGAATCCTATTATTATATTGTATTATGTTCTTAGTTAAGTCTGCTTGATTCCAAATCAATTAGATATCTTTTAGCGTGCTTTTCTCCATTTGATTTTAGGTCCTCTTTTATCATTTTTAATCGTTATAAAATTGCAACTATGAATCGGCACATATGGAGATCTACGTATGACATAACTAAACCATTTAAGATAACATCTCATTATATCATCCATGGGTGTTACTTATACTCTCTAACAGATGTGATAGTATCTAACATCCGTCAAATTCTGTATATCTGCATCCATCATAACGTCCTTATATCTATGAAACACATCTGAAGCTCAAATTATTCCAAGCATGACATTGTTGGTATCAGACTATTCTAATAGGATGTATTGCCAAGCATACTAAGAAGGTACTGTTTTGAAGACAATTTAGAAAGTCAAACCCCGTGACTTGTGAAGTTATGGGTCTTGAGAGGGGTGCAGCGGTCGCTAAACAACAACAACAACAACAACATACCCAGTAAAATCCCACTAGTGGGGTCTAGGGAGGGTAGGATGTACGCAGACCTTACCCCTACCCCGGAAGGATAGAGAGGCTGTTTCCGGGAGACCCTCGGCTCAACAGAAGAGTAAACCAGTTCATTTTATTTAACCTTTCTAGGCAGCTATTTCTACTTAGAAACTAATCCAACCAATGTATACACGAAATACCCACTAAAGTATTGCTTTTACATAGAGTACATAGACAAGTTTTAAGGAGCTAATTACCTTGAGGAATACTATGATCTTACCCAATTTTATACAAAGATATGCTGGACTAAACAAAGTAAAAACCTGAGTAAAATAGTAGATACATGTACAGATCCTGTATCCAGGCTTAAGCAGTCCATATCACCAGAAATGCAAAATAGCAATTTAAAAGCAATAACCATTAAAACAGTTAGGGATCTCCACCCTAAGCTTCTCAAATAGCTACAAAAAGACAGCAAACAAGAAAGTATTTCAGCACCTGATCCAGTGCGGTTTTCGATCCTTTCCTCCAATACACCATTGGAAGGGAACTTCAATTCCGTAGTGAATTTGTTACCATCAGCAGAACAAATCTCAGCATTAATTCCATTAATCATCCCATTTCGTAAAGACACCTTTCTTATCTCCATCTTATCTTTTTCTAACCCACCATTCAAACTCTTCTTCTCTTTCTTAATAACTCTTCCTTTGACCAATGGCCTCAAGGGTAAAACCCTAACCCCATTATTTTCCCCCAAAATCAGGAACCCAAACGAAAGACTAATCGAAAACACCGGCAATGAACAATCAATCACAGCACACTTCATTAGCTTCACCTCATCATCCCTTCGGTGCTTCACAGCAAAAATCCAAATTTTACCATTCAAAATAGAGTATAGAGCAAACACATTCACATCCCCAACCAATTTCAGCGAAACCCCATGAGAAACCCTAAAAACAACCCCAAATTTACTCTCGTCAAACTTCATATCACTGTGATTGCACACAACTTTCGCCGGAGAAAAACTTTTCCGGGAGGCGTTGAGGATGTAAAAGCGCAGGAGAATGGAAGAGCCGCCGGAGATAGGAGAAGAGATAAGAAAGAGGGTAGTAGGGTTAGGGTTCCGGAGGAGGAGGAAAGCAGCGGCGGAGACGGGCGGAGGGATGGTGGTTTGAGGAGGAGGAAAGGAGGAGAGAAAGAACGGGGAAAAAGAAGGATAGAGAGAGATAGAGGAATCAGAATGGAAGAGAGCTAAAGAGAGAGAAGAAGGGTCAAAGAGGAAAGAAGAAAAGTGAGGGGGTGGAGAAGGGAAAGAAGGTGAAAAGAAAGGGGGTTTTGGGAGAAATAGCTGATGAGCTTCAACGACCATTGTTATTGTGAAACTGTAACGAAGTATGATGAAGAAGGAGGAGAAAAGAGAATGGGTTTCGGACAATTTGGATTTTGGACCGGTTTTTGTGGCAATGTTAATGTTGATGTTCGGAGAAGAAGAGGAAGGAGACGAACCATTTCTATTTTTGCAATTATTGAATTGGTTTTTGTTTTTGTTTTGGTTTTGGTGGTGAATAATGTCGTAAGTCGTGACGCACATGAAAAAGGTAAAGTGGAGATGAAAGAGAAAATTAATGGGTAAGCTAAACCCCTGAACTATTTCACTAAACCAGATATTTACCATAATGAGATAAGTTTAGATTAAGAGTACATTGATTATAAGTATTAATTAATACTAATATGATACAGAAACTTCTGTAGTGTCAACAAATATTTACACTGTCAACCGTTTATATAACACTTTGACATGAGATATTTCTAGTAACTTTTGAAAGCTTTGGGAATTTTTGTCAAAACACTTTCCACAAACCGTAATAAGTTTTGAATCCTAATTTTATTAGAGTACATATGTTTACCGGTAAAATGGTACAATTGAATTTATACGTGATTTATAGACAAATAAATTAATTTAATGCTGAAATAGTACATGAATTAGATAAAAATATGATACTTAGCCTTGAGATGGAGATAAAATAGCAGAAACGGTAACTCTGTGAGCAGGGCTTCCGGGCACAATAGCAACAATATTAGTAAACAAGAAGATAAAATTATATTAAGCTTTGAATAAAATGTAGCATATGTTTGTCTGAAAATTCGTATCATTTACAATAATAATAGAGTTTACTATTTATAACTGCACCTAGGGAACAAGGTCTTAGGATCAAGCCCCTCTTTAATATCAATTATGAGGGTCATTGAAGAATGTGTAACGGCAAGCAGTGAATGCCATATTCCTTATAACGGTCCGTGTACTTAATGTTGTAGAATACTCCTCATTAAATGATACCGGGTGGCAGGCATTTATTTCATCTATGAGTATCGTTCTCTCCGGTAACAGATTCAACTATCTCGATCCTGTCTTCGTCTCCACGTGTCACTTCCCCGTGTGATCATTTAATATAAACATATTTTATCCTTTACAGATAGTCCCCCTTGCTTTCCGGTGGCATAACTTTGTGTCACCGAGAAGTTGGTAGAAACATCTTCTTTGGCAGAAAATTCACTGACCTCCTCTGAAAAGTTTCTAACGGTTGATTAGACGCATGTCTCTTCGTATTTAATGCCCGAACACGCGTCATCCCACAATTTAGCATCACTTTTACTGGTTATCGAGGTAATTATGGCCACGAGTTTAGCCTCATATACCTTTACTTTTACGCATCAACCTCCTTCATCTACACTTCATAATACTCTAAATTCTCTCAAACTTCTTTACTCAACTCATACTTTGTCTTTAACCTTTCTTTAGCTTTCTTCTTTTGAGAAAAACCTTTCTTCTGATAAAAAATGACCTCTTCTTCCAGAAACCCTAGTTCTTCAAAGAACAAAGGTAAAGCTGATGATGATTCTCCCATACAGTGAGTACCACTATCCCAAAGAATCTGATCACTACCAAAGATTTGAAGAGAAGTATCATTCTGCTCACCCTCGTACATGGGCTTTTAGCGTATACCCTTCTTCTATCCATCCTTCCAAAATCCCTACTGTGAAGGAAGACCGTCGCTGTCAAGATTTGGACATTATCGCTCCTGACCTGGCAGAGCGGATAACTTTACCCAAGAAAGGTTTTACATATTTTTACACGTATCCCTTCACTTTGGGAGCGTTTTCTTTGAGTGGAGAGCTTGACTCCGTCATTGTGGAGTTCTGCCTCCTCTATCAGGTGTGCTTGGCACAAGTAAGTCCTTCCGTGTGGAGGACAATCACTTATCTTTGACGCCTGTGCCAGGAGACGGGAGAAGAGTTATCCCTAACTCGAGTGACGAACCTCTATTCCCCAAAAATCTTTCGCGGGGGAATGATAAATTTCAGCAAGCGTGGTCACCATGCACTGCTATCCAGCATGGATGATGACAATGAATGTGGATGGATGGAACGATTCGTTTCAGTCGCAACCAGCGACATCATCCCGGCCACGGCTCCATTTTTTCCAAAATTATGGAACCGCACTCGTAAGGCTTGGACCAATGGGTCCAAAAAATTTTGGACGTTACTACGCTCGAAACCCGCACGTGGAAAGAGTTGCCCCTGAAATATAGGTGGAAGGCCAAAAATGATGGTAAGTCGAACTCTTCTTGTTTTTATCTTTTCACATAAGGAAGTTGTTTGACTCTTCTCTCCTGTTAAATTCAGGTCTACCCCGGGGCTCAGTTGTCATCCCCGAGGAGGACGTTTTGGTTAATCTCGTTGATGTAGGGAGGATGCTGCAGGAGGCATTTACATAGACATGTGTCTCCGGGCCTGTGATAAGTGGGGATTTTGACTACTTATTAGCGCCTTTTAGCTTTCGTTTTTAATCCAAAAGTATTTAATTGTATTCCCAAAAACTGATAAAATATGCTCAATTGCAGGAGTATTGGAAAATGAGTCACTAAGATGAAATCCAACTCAAGAAGGAGTGATATGAACTCAAGGACATAAGTCAGGCACAAAGGCTCAAAGTGCGGACCGCAGATTTCCATCTGCGGCTGCAGAATATGAAGGAAAGTCCATCAGACTCCAAGTGAAAAGTGCGGACCGCGCATGAAATGTGCGGCAGCAGAAGCTATGTAAGAGCTAAAGTTCAGGGAGTCTTATTTCAAGCTCAAAGGAAAATGCGGACCGCACAATTATTATGCGGCCGCAGAAGTCAGCTACGCGGCCGCACTCAAATTTGTGCGGTCCGCAGAAGAGCCCTATGCGGCCGCACCAAAAATTGTGCAGACCGTAAAATATGAGAGATGCGGCCGTATTCCAGAATTGTGCGGCCGCAGATTCAACTCCTGCCAAGACTGAAGCAAAGTGTCCGCACGTGGAATTGTGCGGCCGCAGAACCTCTGAAAGGGCATTTTTGTCCGAAATTTCCAGCTTTGTATAAATAGAATAGTTTCACGAATTTAGGTCAAGTTTTGAATATTGAAAGGTCTGTAGCCGTTTTTACTTGCTTCTTTAGGCAACTTTAGCTTATTTTGGTGATTCAACATTGGATCTTTATATTTTAATCTTCCAATATGAGTTTAATAATCATTTCTTCTTTATTTTCTTCTATACCCATTATGAGTAGCTAGATTTTTATTAGGGTTGTGACCCAACCCTAGTGTGTAACCCTAATGGGTGTTTGATTTATGGCTTGTTTATGGTTGGGTGTTTATTATTTAGCCTTGTTCTTGCCTTTAATTTTAGAATTAATGGTTGCAAATATTAGTTCATGCCTATTTGACTTGGTCTTTGCTTGAGAAAGAGAGAGTTAGTCTAGGAAAACTTGGCTAACAAGAATTTGGAATAAAATCAAGAGATTGATAGTCCCAATTAAAGGGTTGAACCTAGAGATAGTAAAACCCGGCTTGAGCATTTTATCAACTGATTTATTCAATACTCATTTGGACTTGAGAAAGCTAAATTGGGAAAAATCACTCTCTTACCGAGAGGTATTGAGTGGGTACTTGAGTGTTGATAGCTATAATACACCCCCGACCAACGAAACAATATTTAAAGTTTATAACCAGTTAGGCAAACACCTAGGTGAAGGTCATAGCCCTAGCCCTTTTACATTATTTGAAAAACATCCAAAAACAATATTCTCTAGTATCTTTAGAATTGAAATCCTTAGCGTAACTTTAGAAGTAAAAACAAAACCATATTTGTGCAAGTGCGATCTAGATACTTCACGTGCTCTATCCACATATATACTACTAATTCCCATCTCAGCTCCCTGTGGATTCGATCCCGACTCCTTGTTGGGTATTACTATTGCAATCCACCGTCATAACCTCAAATAGAGGTGTGACTTGGACGAGATCAATTTTTGGCGCCGTTGCCGGGGAGCTAAAACGGATTTAGCTATATATTTGGTTTTGTGTGTGAATTGTCTTTTTTTCCTTTCGTGTTACTAATCTTTTCTGTGAAACAATTGTAGGTGAAACAATTGCTCTCAACAACAATGATTCGCTCGGAAACATGCCTATGCGGGATGTAGGCGTGGAAGATGACCAAGTTGAAGAGGTTCCTCTAGAACCTCAAGCAAATAGACGAGGCCGACCGCCTCAAGACAATGTTCCCATTCCACCCCACCTCCACAAAAAATAGCTCCACACCGGGTGTTTCCAAATGAAGGGTATGCAACTGCCATAGTCCCTCCTAGCATTAGGGCGGGCAACTTTCAAATCACAAATGTTATGCTCACATTGCTAGAGCAACAGGGATTCTTTACCGGGGCTCCAGGCAAAATTCATACAAACACTTGAAGGGGTTTGTGGACACTTGTTGGGGGAGTAAACAGACAAACGTCTCCGAGGATGCTTTACGGTTGAGGCTATTTCCTTTCTCTCTACGGGGGAAAGCCTTGGATTGGTTAGAAAGGTTGTCAAACCATTCCATCCATACATGGGATGAATTGGCGGAGAAATTAATTTTCAAGTTCTTTTCTCCCGGGCATATGGCTACTCTTAGAGACGAGATTCTAGCATTCAAACAAGAACCCAATGAGCCTTTGCATAAGATATGGGAGAGGTACCGAACTATGGTGAAAGGGTTCCCAAACAATGATATGACGGAGGCTATGATTCAAAAAACTTTACATAGGGGGTCAATACTACCAATCAATGCATAGTCAACCAACTTGATGGTGGAAATTTCATGACAACACCATATGCGGAAGCTTGTGAGATCTTAGATGAAATGGCAGATACTTAATCTGTTACGCCCCGCAATATTACATCGATATTACGTCCCGCAGTATTATATTACGATGATGTTACGTCCTGCAGTATTATATTACGATGATGTTACGTCCTGCAATATTATATTACGATGATGTTACACCTTGCAGTATTACATTACGATGGTGTTACGCTTCGCAGTATTAAATTACAACGATGTTGCACCCTGTAGTATTGCACGTTAATTTTGTCGTAAGGTAATTGACATCAGTCCAAGGAAAAGATTATTTGGAGATTATAAGGATTATGCTATTTCAAATAAGTGATGAGTAAATTCGTG